AGGAAGTGGTTGTGTAAGTAAGACAGGATAGATGGATCAAGCATGCTGTGAAGTGACTGAGACTACTCTAAAACAGGTCAAAGAACTGTAATACAGTAGTGTTCTGATTTTTGTGAGATTTCTACTGTCTTCATTGTTGGAGCTGCTAAGGAGCAAATAAAGGAACAATGCTAATGGTTAATCAAGAGTTTCACATTTTATTGTTGCCAATTGGTAAGTAAGACAGGATAGATGGATCAAGCATGCTGTGAAGTGACTGAGACTACTCTAAAACAGGTCAAAGAACTGTAATACAGTAGTGTTCTGATTTTTGTGAGATTTCTACTGTCTTCATTGTTGGAGCTGCTAAGGAGCAAATAAAGGAACAATGCTAATGGTTAATCAAGAGTTTCACATTTTATTGTTGCCAATTGGATCTGCTTAACAAGGAAGAATCCAAGGCTGAGGGAGTTGGGATTGTTTAGCCTGGAGGAGGCTCAGGGGAGACCTTCTCACCCTCTACAACTCCCTGACAGGAGGTTGGAGTCAGGTGGGGGTTGGTCTCTTCTCCCAGGCAACCAGCAGCAGGACAAGAGGGCACAGACTCAAGCTCTGCCAGGGGAGGGTTAGGTTGGATATTAGGAAGAGATTTTTTGCAGAGAGAGTGCTCAGGCATTGGAATGTGCTGCCCAGGGAGGTGGTGGATTCACCATCCCTGGAGGTTTTCAAGGTGAGACTGGATGTGGCACTTGGTGCCATGGTCTGGTGACCACGGTAGGGTTGGACTCGGTGATCTTGGAGGTCTTTTCCAGCCTGGTTGATTATATGATTCCTTGACTTATTGAGTGCAAGTTTGTATGATTAAATTTGTTTTCAAACCTCTGAATTGAAGCTTCCAATGCCTTTAAGTTATTCCAAACTTTCTGTTAGAAGAAGGAAACTCCAGTGTCTTTCAATAACTTTTCAATAGCTTAAAAAAAACCATTATGAGAGGTTTAATTCTTAAAGGTTGTTTGATTATGTTTATGGTTGAAATAATTTGTAGCTTGCTTTGAGAAACTAATCTCAACATTTTATAAATGTAATTTCTGGGTGCTCAAGACCATTATTATTATACTTGTGGGCTTTTTGTGCTGGTGGTTTTGGCATTTCCTGATACATGACTCCTTAATGTTTATTCATTGTGAGTGTATTCACAGCATCATTTAAGCACTTGTTGGCATTGATACATTTGAAGAGTAGAATGAACACTGGAGATATTACTGTGTACAGTAATTGGTAATTCACATCTTTATGCTATGAGTATGAATATTAACTTGATTTAATGCTTCTCACGAAGTATTCAATCCATATAAATAATGCAGCCAAAATTGTGCTTTAAGGAATCCAAAGCCACAATTACAGTAGGAGAACTTGTCAGTCTCCTTATTGCTGGGTGTAAATTGTAATGCAAGATTATCTATTTCACAATAGATAACAGACTTTGTTTTGCTCACATTTTAAAGCAAATGTTGTATTTATAAATTGTGTCTGATACCTTTGACCAAGAGCAAATCTGGAACTTGGGCAGCTGTAAGAGAGGACAGTGGAAATCTTAGGTACCAAAAAGAAGCCTAAGGATCTTAACAGTAAATGTAATAGCTCTTATTTTCTTATGCCATGAGCAGTAAAAGAGTTAATGCTGCCATAAAATTGTTCTGCAGAATTTTCAGAGAAACCTATTATGGGTCATGTTGTACTTCTGAGAGGTATTGCTTAAGGTTTTTCAGCCTGGGCAAAATTCCATTGGCTTAAGTATGAAACTTTAGGATTAAGAGTTGCAAGCTAATGGTGGGGGGGAAAAAGTGAAAGCCTTTAGCTGGAATGTGGATTCTTGGGAGTAAGTTGAGCAGGTGACAAATAATCCTGCAGTAAAGGGCCTTGATGGTGCTTCCTGATTCCCTGTCAGGCACATAGGGTGGAATTTGGCCATTTGAGCCTGTAATGTGAAGAGTGAGGGGGAAGTATGAAGGTGTAAAACAGATTTGCAGACATAAGGGAGGACATAATTTGACCAAATGAAGCAAACCCAAAATAGAGTAATCGAATTAACTACAGAGACTATTACTTGCATTGAGTTAATGCAGTAATTGCTGTGTTGCTGTGTCCCAGTCCCTGCTGTGTCCCTAGCACTGCCAAGTAGCTGTAGAGAACAAAAAGGTGCCCCTGTACATCCTGAATCTCAGCTTGCAAACTGTACTGTGCCTGTTTGTGAGGAAGGAAGTGTTTTGACTTCTGGAAGGCTACACTTGCCCTCAGTAGTAAGGTTCATTCCACCTTCATTTCCGTGTGCTCTCATACTTCTCTTACCTGATGCTCATACTGTGTTCCTATTGCATCAGCTTTTAAACCTGTGTCATAAAGTTTTGGAGGCAAAAGTTTTATCATTGTCCAGTTCTTTGTCTCAAAAATGGTCCAACAATCCAAGTGCATTATGGGGAGATGATGAGCTGATTTTTGTCACATATATTCCAGTTCTTACTGTTTTCATCACGTTTCTTTCCGTGTTGAATCTTCCAAAGTGGTAACTGATGGATGCTTAAGGGAGAATAGGTGTCCTGTTCTTACTTGTCCTGTACTTACCTTACAGCTTCTGCTGTAGAGGAAAATGGTTTTGCTGCCATATTTATTTGAATCTATAAATGAAAACTGTCTGCATTAATGTCAGAAGGTGTCGCCCAAATATACTTGTGATTGTGGTAATCAAGGGCAGGGTGGGGAATATCCCTTTCTGCAACCATCAGACCATGTGTTTTGGAGATGTTTTTTTAGGCATCCAGTCTTTTCTCAGTAGAAGGGAGCAGGTATGAAGCTAAACCTTAACCTTTGGTTCAGGGGAAACTCAAAAAAAATCTCCAAACTATCCATGTCTTGGCTGCTAGGCTCAAGAACGTTATTAGATGGACAGTCTTTGATTTGATTGCCTCTCTTGGCTTAGAAAGTGAAATTAGACTCTCTAAGTTAAAGCTTGCTGATGCAGAGTTTAGGTGACCTCTTGGCTCATCTTTTGAAGCACTCTAACATTTGAAGCTTGGCCTATGTTAGAGCTTCAGGGTCAGGTGATTGCCTTGCTCTTCTCCTTTGCTTAAATAGGAGTGTTATTGCTCCTGCTGTATTGGAAGTCAGAGAGACAAACTGTACAGACAGATGGTTTGAAACAGGCAGGTTATTACAATGATAGTCCTGCTCTATGCAGTGCATATGGATTCTGTGAGCTGCCGTTCTCTCCTGCTATTTTCATGCCTTTTGCCACCTGGATTCTCAATTGACTGAGGCACAGCTAGGCCTGCACAAAGGGTTTTTCTCCTTACATGGCATATGCAAAGCCCACCTTAGTTACAGAGGAACAGACACTGCATCTGAAAGAAATCTGTTTTGCTGTGTGTGGGCACGTATGTGCCCCAGAAGAGGAGTGGATATAGCCAGTATAACTAATGTTGAGTGAGTAGTTGTTTGGGCTTGACTTGGCATGGTTTGTGATGGTGTGACATGGTGTTCTACCAAGCTCCCTTCTATTACTGAGATTTCTAGTGCTTGTTTTAGAGTTGTTTGGGTTTTGAAACAAGGGTTTAAAATAATACTTTAGGTGTTACAGGTTGTGCAAACACCTTTGAAACTGTGGACTCAGTGCATGTCAATACAGGAAGGACTGTCTTAAATTAGAGAGGGGCTACAAAGGTACTCTGAGAGATGCATCACATTCCTGTTGAAGTTAACACAAGGAGCTCAGTTATCTCTCAAGATAACTATGAATACTAGTCTTCATATCTGTTTCACCCCTCTCTGAAGAAATATGGAACTGGTCTCACAAGCTGTTCAGAGTGACTGTTCACTTTTGAGTTGTTGGTGTCAAATAAGAAAAGAGATTGCTGCTTTGCATCCTTTCAGGCCAGTGTTGAAATTCCAGTCTGAAGACCATTACTAAAGAGCTTGGTGGGATGCAGCAAGGTATCCAGCTTTCCTGTGGGGTTCCTGCATGTCTGCAGAAACCCTGTTTAGAGCTGTGTGTGCAGTCAGTTTGGTTTGTTTAGCTCTGGTATGAAAGTTGGTAGAGAGGGGTTTGGGGAATTTTGTTTTTAATTTGTGTACCTGATGAGGTTCTAAAGCTCATAGCTTTCACTGAGTTAAATAGTAAAGACTATATCTCATTCTCTTTGAGTTACTCGTTTATTCAGGTTTAATGATCCAAATGAAGCGTTTGCTTAGTGCATAATTTAAAATGAATTGGATATTTACACATTTACTAGCTTTAAGGTGTTCTTAATAACCTCTTTAATAATGATTTTTTTAATGCTCTCGTGTTCCATCCCCTAGCTACCTTTTCCTCTAAAAACATAAATGAAAGTCAAACAAGCAAGTGGACAGTGACTTTGTAAGACTTCTCCCAAGATAAACATGAGAAAGGCTCTCTCAGAGCATCTACTTTTAGGCTGCCTTTGGGAAATCAAGTCTTAGAAGGCCAAGTTGGAATCGGGATTCCATACGTGTCAAGTGTTGGGTGTTTATAATTGCTCTCTGGAGACACCTAAATGACATGTCTGAAATGGTCCCTGTGAATACCCCACGCTCTGTCCTTGTTCTGTGTCTGCCAGTCTTTCAGTGCAAGGAGTCAGATGTTTCTTCTTGGTGGTGTGACAAAGGATCATGTTTCTGCCAAGTTTCTTTAGAATGTAACAGAGGAAACTGAGTAAAGGTTTTAACTGTAAACTTTCTGAAAACAAGCACATTTGTATTTAAAAACCCTATAAATGATACTACCCATACCTACAAATACTGTTGGCTACTGTTTTTGTAGGAGTTACATTTAATAACAGTAAATTATATTGTCAATTGTATATGGTGTGGGGTTTTTTTTCCTGCTAGAAACTGTTGTATATCCTGTAGAAAGCCACATACTTTGATTGTTAGTATGTTGTGAAGCTTAGTCCTGTTTTCAAGCTCACGTGAGTTGCAGAGTCCTAGCAAAGTGATGTTTTAAGTATGAAGCACAGCTATTTGTGGTGGCTGCAGACAATGCAGGAGAGTCTTTTCTGTGTCTTAGAAACACAAATAAGAACCTGTGAAGTTTCCCTTGCTGTGGAACAGACTGGCCAGGTACTTTTTGTAACGTGTAACATGATGTTTCAGCCCAAATTTAGGCTGAGCAACCTGCAGTCCTCTCTGAGAAGAATGGGCATGTTAAATGCCAGGAACAGGACTGTAAAATACACATTATATCTGTTTCAGTCTGCATTCTAGTGGTGACAGGTGCTCAGTGGTTGTCAGTATCCTTGTCAGCACAGGGACTCCTTTGACATTACAGTCACCATCCTGGTCCTGCTGCTGTGCAGCTTTGTTGGCAGTTCCACCAGGCTGCAGCAGATCAGCGAATGTCAGAGCCTCCTTTCTTCTGGTGTGTCACCAGCACTCTGTGTTTCCAGGCTGGCCTTGCCTGTTGTTTGATCTTGACACACTTCTTCAGCAGCTTTCCTTTGGGAATTGAGCAGATAGGTCACGGGCATGGAGGTATCTTCAGGGTAATCCAAAACCCCTTCCAAAGTGACTTGCGTAAAGGTTTGTAACGATTACCGTTGCTTTAAGCCAATCAATGGGTAAAGTACCCAGGGACTCATTAAGTGGCATTTGTGGTGTCTGTAACAGAGTTTTGAGCTGTATTTCAGGAAATGCAGTGACAGCCTTTAATGTCTAATTGACCTCTTCTCTTTGTTTCACTTTCCATATTTCCTTCTGATGTGTTCCCCCATGGCAGCAAACAGCCCTACTCAGTATTTTGAACTTCTGCTCAGAGCTGCAGCACCTCAGCCTGGGCAGCTGTGTCATGGTGAGTACTCTGACCAGTTGCAGTGTATGTGTGTGTGCATCCCCTTGCTTTGGAACTCAGTCTGGGTTTGTTTCACAAAGATGTGTTAAGTGCTAGGTCGATATTAGACTTGACTCTCTTGGAAAGCCCAAGATGAATGCAGCTTAGTCATGCACTTAAGGGTTACTAGTTCAGTAGGTGTAAAACATACCTTGCAGGCTTTCTCATAATTCTTCAGCTTCTGCCTAGCTATTTGGGCATTCTTTGTATGCATAATCATAGAATCATGGAATCCACTGGGTTGCCAGGTTGCTCTGCAAGGCAACTTAGCCTGACCTTCCTCATGGTTCAAGAATCATAGAATGGTTTGGGTTGGAAGAGACCTTAAAGTCCATCTGTTTCCAACCCCCTGCCCTGGGCAGGGACACCTCCTCACTAGATCAGGTTGCTCAAGGCTTCATCCGGCCTGGCCTTGAACGCCCCCAGGGTTGGGGCAGCCACCATGTCCCTGGGCAACCTGTTCTAATGTCTCACCACCCTTAAAGAACTTTTTTCTAATATGTAACCTAAACTTCAGTTTGAACCCATTACCCCTTGTCCTGTCACTGCAGTTCCTAACACAGAATCCCTCTCTGGCTCCTTGTAGCCCCTTCAGATATTGAAAAGTTGCTCTGAGGTCTCCACACAGTCT